CTCCTGCCCCGCCTGCCTCTCCACACGCTTCTCCTCTCAGGCACTGCACAGCCCGCCGTGGCTTTTGTCCCCAGCAGGCAGCCAGTGCCAGGAAAGGGTCTGGTGACTGCCGTCCTGCCTGGGCTCAGCCCCTTGCCCGCACTTGCCTGCTGGGTGCAGCCGGGCATGGCGGTGCTGCCAGGGAGATTTTAAACTCCACAAAGAACAAGGAGCTTATATCCCAGAAAGAGCTTTTTCCCCTGGCACATATGCAAAGATTTCTGTAACTGCACAGCCTGCTTCTTTCTCATGAATTTTGAGTATTTCTGCTTTCAGTGATTTATAATAAAATAGCTGAGACATCAACAGATAGGAGGAAGGAAAAAAAGAGCCCTGACCCAAAATAGAGAATGAATTCCATCCATTTTACGTGAGTTCCAAGTCTCCCACAGCACAAGGCTGTCAGGGCTCAGATACAGCCTTGTGGTGGCCATTTCCAGGAATGCTTTATTCTCTTCTGCAGGAAGGAGGCAGAAGGTTTTCTCTAACTGATCAGTTTTTTTCAGCCCCCTGCCTGCAGGGACAGTCAGGGCAGCACCACAGCCAGCCAGGACCTGAGCCACCTTCAGCCACTGCTGCCTGCCTGCAGTAGGCTCCCCTAACTCCACAGGGCCAATTGATTTTTTTCCTGCTCATTTTTAACTCCAGCCTCGAGCCACACTTTCCTTCCACGGGGGCAGGAGCAGAGCTGCGGGGCTGTTGTGTCTTACACTGGACCTTATTCAACCAGAGGATTTTGCTGCTTCTTGCAATTTAGAGAAGCACTTTCTGTTAACCCTTACTTTCTCATTACCCAACAGCAGCAAGGCAAGCTACTGCTTTCTCTAGATCACAGAAACACCATCTCTAGGAGATGAGAAATCTGTGCACTAGCAAGGAACACAGAGAAGCAGCAGGAGGGTGCTGCTGTTGAGGGCAATTTGAGATGTCTCATCTCACTCCCAACAGCAGGTAAGCCCTGCTGCCTTGAAGGCACAAACGGTAAGCTCAGCTTTCAGTGGCTTAAGGCGTCCCCCACCCTGTATGTGAGCTTCCCAGGCAGGTGAGCTGGGCTGATGCAGGACTTCTGATTGATGTGCTCCCTTCTGCTGCTGCTGTTACAGTAGGGAGATGTGAGACAGGCACTCACACCAGTATCAGCATCTCCAGACCTGCAGCCACACTCTGGTTGAGCCTGTGGCACGGATTGCTGCTGTAGCTTTGTCCAGCTCTTCCAGCTCTCCAACTACAGAAGCGCAGTGAATTACTCCCTTGGGATTTTCTCCTGAGGCAGTAATGACTCGCTTCCTATGGCATTTGTTCAGTAGCTGTGGAGAACGCCTGAGGAGACACCACACAGTTCACCTCCAGAGCACCCTGCGTGCTCCACACTCACTGCAGCAGCTCTCCAGAATCGCCTCCGCTACAGCAGCTCCAGACAGCACACACCTCGCAGCGTGCCTGATGCTGCTGGAGCAGAACTTGCCCGGGCCAAGGGATGAACATCCCTGCATCATTTCCCAACTTGGACACTGGAGGAATCTGGCTCTCTGCCATTCACACCTCAGGGGCTGGTTGCTGCCTGGTACTACATTCATGACTGTCCTAGACAGGGAGAAGAATGCTTTAAACCATACTTGCAGCAGTCACTTCTAGTCAGTCACAATGTGCCTACAAATAGTTTCAACAATTAGAAATGTGTGTGGATTTCCCCACCCCCCCCACCCATGTAGGGAAGGAATTTCAGTAAGGTCTATCCCTTCTGATCTGAAGGAAGTTACCAGAGCAGAACGTCACCTCCTGGCTATTTTAGGGGGAAAAAAAAGTTGCTTACTCACTGACCAGTACTATGTTTTAACAAATGAATGACAGTAGTAACCCTCAGCAAAAGCACCCAACACCATACTCATGCTTCCTGAAGCAATGTTCAGTGTAGGATTGGAAGTCCACTGTAAAGCCAAAGTCACCTCATTCTTCTGAGGTATCTACTCAGGAGTACATACTTCTATACTTCCCCAGCCTACAACATGCAATGAAAAAGACTCAGAGTTTAGTCAGAGCAAGTGCTTCTCAGGACGTAATTGGGCTGCCACTGGTCATCAGCTCTGTGCAAGCTACTTAGCACTTCTTCATTTGTACTTGCTAAATTATTCAGGCTTTCCCCAGCCCGTAGGTCATGCGAACAGATCTGGTCAGACACAGGGGTACCACAGCCACTCCCCGCTAAGGGAAGCGCCCTGGGCCCAGGCTGCTTCTTCCACACAATGTGGGCAACAGCCAAGCTGAACCTGTCAGCCTCACTGTGAGGGTGTCACCAGACCACCTTCCAAACAACATCACTCCATAAACCTTGCAAGCTGGCCGAGCACAGAAGATGCACTTCACCTTTGTAAGGTTTGTAGAAGCATTTACAGGCAGAGGCCATGGTTTTAAAATAAAAGTTTAATTCCTTCATCAGGTCTTAAGTTTAAACAGAAATGCTGCTGAAAATCCTCAGACTACTGCTCTGATGTCCTGGTTCTTGGGTTTCAGGGCATTGGCAGTGTGGCAGCAGGGGCTCCAGTACGGGAGGCAGGAATCAGACTCTCAGTAGAGCTCAGTGCAGGATGCAAAGCAAAGAAGCAAGAGACACTTTCCAGACAAACACCAATCCTTATACAAAAAGAAAAACCCTACACTGTAATATAAACATTAATGTTACCACACCACAGGAGTTCAAGGAAGGGAGAGAAGTCTTCAGTAAAATGCACAACTAAAGAAGTACATCCCTAGATCTTAACCAAGTCTTTCAGTGTATACGCCAGCCCCACGCCTCTCAAAGCCATGCTGGTTACTCCAGTAATTTCAAGCTCCTTTTCCCTTTTTCTCTTCCTCCAGCTCAAAAACAAATGAAAGAGGAGTGTTTAGAAAGGCTTACCAGTTTACCTTAAGATTGTCTGGTACAGTTACTAAGTATTCAAGTTTCATATGATACTTATTACATCCAGGAGCCTCAGCCAGCTCTATTTTTGGTATTTTTCTTTCAGGCACTTTGCTGCATGTCAGGTTGGTGTTAGATATAGTTTTCCCAGGACTATGTACCACCAGCCTCTTTAACCATTGCTGTAAGCACTCATTAGCAGCATCAGACCCATTCCAAGGGCTTCTTGAGGCTTTTTTAGTCCTGGAACCTCCTGTGATCCTTGGTTTAAGATCTTTTCCAAGGAACAACACTTTGAAGACAAGATAGACAGAGGCCAAGACAAGCAACCAGAATGGGTCAGTAACTTACAGGACTGCAAGCAACGAGAGGCTAAGACAGCTAGACACAAAGCTGTTGTGTATTAGGCCACTCCAGTGTCCAGGCAGGCACTTGCTAGATGCAACAACCAAGCTCCTACAGGATAAAGAGGCTCAATTTACTAGCGTACTGGTGAAAAAGGATCAAGGATTTGCACACCAAGTCCCGGTGCAGCTACAGTACACAACAGCAGTGCTCTCATTGCTAGCAAGGCTAACAGTCAGCTGTGAAACTGAGGAACTGGTTCTAGCCTACACTAGACACTAAAGCACACAACCACCATCAGTCCTCCACATGAGGAGAGGAATGCTTGTCTGGGATGCACCTTCAACACTAAGTTGACACAGCAAGGCAGTACTGTACAGACTATGCTCATCTTCACTTTGCTGTGTAGCATGCTAAAGGACGTTTAATTCATTAATATTTAAGATGAATTCAAGTTTGCAAGCTACACTGATCTCCTTTAATGGAAGGAAGTTGTAGCAGAACCACCTCCCAGGTGGTTCTTTACCTAGGGTCAACCTTGGCCAAGATACAAGCCTTCCCCTTTGCTCTTCAAGGGCTCCTGTCAGGTATAATGGTAAGACAGACAGCAGTCTTTCTCAGGCTTTTCTTGTAGATCCATATCCACATGTCCTAGGGAGCTCCGCTTCCCAATTTAGGGTGCGTATGATCATCTAATCCTGCCCACAAAGAAATCCTCTCCCTCCCTCACCATCAAAATAATTATGGCAATTACCCATGTGTCAGTCCTGCTCTCCACAGATCTGCAGAATTGGTCAATACTACTGATGAGCCCCAATGCACAGGGCTGCTGGTGGAGCTGGAGTGTTACAGAGATGAGTTTCCCCCCGCCAGCTTCCCAGTGTTGGGATCAGAGCCCGTAAGCCTGACTTAAATTGAAGGAGCTGTGGAGAACTGCACTGGAACAAGCAGAGTCTTCTACTGAACTTTACAACAAGCTGAACAACTTTTGGTTTTAAAAAAAGCCATACAAGCAGCAGCTGACATCTGTTGTTATAAAGGGACATGGCTGAATAGGTAGGAGACAGATTCCCCATTATGAGTCCTCCTGATGGCCTCTGCAAGGATCATTGAGATGTCAATCACCTGGAGGGGAAGAAAGATGCATCAGCGTCACTGAGTGTCACAGTTTAGGGTCAGAGTCACCCCTAGACCTGTAACAGACACTAACACACACACCCACACACCTTCCCCAGAAAAGGGAAAGAAAAGGAATAAGGGAACAGTGGATAGAAGCAGACACTGCCTTTGAAAACATGCTGCTAACTTCAGAAAGTGCAGTCAATTAGAAGAGCTGTAGCTGAAAAGTAAAATCACTCAACAGAATCAGTCCTGTTCTACCTCAAACCTGGACACTGAGAAAAGACATCAAGTGTGAAAGAATGGCTGTGAAGTTAGGATGAACTTAAAGGGCAAACTCAGCACCCAATTTTAGAACATGCCAGATGCAGACAAATGACTTCTACATAGCAGTTAGATTTAATTACATATAATTATGAAGATATTCTACAGATAGCACTCCAATAATTATTTCAACTGTTGATCTTTGTCAGGATGACAGTCTACTGTCACCTTGCTTTGCTGAGACTCCTTAATCTCAGTCTGCTTACCCTAGGACTATCTTAGTCACTTTGTGCAGGTTGCAGAGGGTAGCCTAATACAAGCCTAGATCACTTCCCTTGAGTCAAGAGATTTTTACCATCACTGCCAACAGTCTAAGAAAGATGAAGCTACTGTGCTGCAGCTCAGCTCCCAGGCATTGTGCTGGCTCCACCTGGCAGGGTACTCCAGTTAACAGGAGAGAAAAGACAGTCTGAACAGAACTCTAGCTCTGAACCTCAGCAGCCAAAGCATTTTGATAGATGTAGTCTCCTTAAGAAGCACCATGTTAATGGTGCATTAAGGAAACTAAGTGAAATTCATATTTAACATTTTCTTCCTTCTGCATAGTTTGCCTCTTAAGGAAGGAAAGAAAAAAACCTTAAGAGCTGCAGAGCAGACAGAGCATGGGATTTATGACAAATACTTTAGCTCTGTATTTCCCAGCACTGAACATCAGATGGTAGAGTAAAAGAGTGAGGTGTTAAGCCAGAGCCTGAAAAAACTACTTCACTGCAACCTTTGGCTACAGCTGTTTACACACCAATGACCATTTTAACGTGGTGTCTATATTAACTGCAGCATGGAGCTTGGAAAGAAGTAGAAGCATTAGACATCTTTCAGATGTGCTCAGTTGCAGGAGTATCATTCAGAAGTTAGTGCTGAGAGAAATGCAACCCCACAGCAGTTTGCAATCAGCTTATAACTTACTTCCAAAAGCAGCTTAAAATTCACTGCAGCTTCAACCAGTTAATCTTTCTTTGCACCAGAATCCCAGTATTAGGGAATCTGCTACACTTATAACATTAGTGCTAGCTGAATCTTAGCAGTGCCATTCACTTTCCAGAACTACTCCAAATGCCCATGTCCTGTATGCCTGTCCTGTGAAGCTGGTATTTAGGATGTCCTTGGCTGTGTGTAAGCTACAGTAGTACCTTCTGATGAAAGCTTCTAATGGGCCTATTATGTCTGAATGCTCAGGTAAAGCTGCAACTTCCGTCTGTCCATTAACAGGAAATCCTCAAGTTCTGCCTAGTTCAAGTTGTACAGCAGTTTTTTTTCTTCCAGGACAGTCAGCCTCAGCTTGGGAAACAGAATGCCACAGAACTTTTACTAAGTGGAAAATCCAAGACAGAATGAACATCAAGAGAGCAGCTTTTATCTTTCATATGGATGGGAGAATGGTTTTGTTTATCTTTGGCAAGTATCTGAACATTTACTGTGGAGCTGTGTCAGTTGTCTTATTTAAACCAGCATGACATGTCCATGGGAGAAGACTGTATTCCCTCTCCAGCTCACCTCTACTGCTGCTATGATCAGACTTGAAGCATTCACCCTTCCCAGACCAAGCCTTCTGTGTTTTACAAAAGAAAGGGAAACTCTGCTTAAAGGGCTGGGCACTAGGTGATAGATACACAACTGAAAGTGGTGTTACCTACTTGGTAAGTTCCTATCTACCTTTGCTTCAGTATTACATGTTATCAGCCTATCACTCCTCCAAGGTGTACAGATATGAACTGTTTAACATGAGCTGGATTAGAAGCTCATTTTTCCTCAGTGCAATAAGTGTTACCCCACAGCAATAGGAACAAAAGAACTAGTCAACACTGCCACCAATCCAGTGCCAATGGAAACTGCTGTAAGCATTCGGACAGTATTACAGGATTTCCCCACCAACAGGAGGGCAGACAAGCAGTACCACTCCCCAGGAGTGACAGAACAGAGCAGATACCTGGATTTTAGGGCACTGCTTCATCTTGTCCTCCTGGGGTATTGTGTTTGTGACCACAACTGCTTCAAAGCAGGCATTGTTGATCCGAGAAATTGCCGGGCCAGAAAAGATCCCGTGAGTTAAGATGGCATAAACTTTGGTGGCTCCAGCTGACACAAGCCTGCAAGGGGGCAAAAAGGAGAAGGATGAGAAATGTTTAGCAAAATTAAATTGACATTAGTGCAGGGCATGTGGTAAGCACGAAAGGAGACGATACTGTACACTTAGCAGACAGGCTCCCCTTGATTCTCAGCTCTGGCCTACTATTGATTTTGGGGAAGAAAACTGTTTAACAAGTACCATAAAATCCACCAGAGGCAAAATGTACATTAAATATTGCTCATAGCCCTGGGACATGTGGAGTAGATCAGACAAAACACCATCTGTGATTTTTGCCAACACAAGGTAGCAGGCCTCTAACACCAAGTGTTGCACATCCTGACGTTTCTAGTGTAGAAGGCTTGGAAAGCTCCCTTCCAATAGAAAATCAGACGCACGACCTCTGGTTGGTGGACCAGACAGCACTTGGTTCTACCTAGCACAGTCACTATGATCTAGTGGAAGACATACTTTCAACACAAGCATTTTTCAAATAAAAAAGACACTATGGTCTTCTATTTATTCTCATTGTGAGAACTTTAACAGGGCTGTTTACTTATCTTGTGTGACATGAGAAGAAATCGCATGTTACTTGGTGAAATTTGATGTGCAAACAATCTGGTTAACTCACTAACAATAGGTTTCCACTTTAGGAAAGCATCAGTCAGCCCTACTCACTTGTCTGCAGCGTGACAGATGGTACCACAGGTGTCTGCCATGTCATCTACCAGAATGGCCACTCTGTCCTTCACATCCCCCACCAGCACCATGCGATCTACTTCATTGGCCTTCTTGCGCTCCTTGTGGATGAGGGCGAAGTCTACGTTCAGTCGATCTGCAATGGAGGTCACTCTGAAGAGAGAACAGTTCCCAGACAACACTTAACTCCACAACAGTTCCAACTGCATCTTTTAAAACTATTAAGCACAAACTGCCACTGCTGTAAGAGAAGCAGTCACCACGTTACTGCTCCCAAGCAACTTAGAGAAGATGCTCTCCCACCTTTGTTTCCTTCAAGCCGTTAAACTGCAATCTCTGATCCAACCTCTCCCAGTGACAGCAACTAGGCTAAGATACAACAGTCTTTTGTCCAGACCACTGTAAATTAATTCGTGTTTAAAACTCAGAACAAACCTTAACCAGCAAGTTTGGCAAACCTGAAGTAAGCAGAATGCTTGGGAAGTTGCCATCTTTGTAGCACTAGTGCTTGCACTCATATAAGCATTCAGCTGGCAAGCATTCAAGTGCTGGCATAAGGACAATGGCAGAAGTACACAGTCAGGAAATGCAAGTCCACCACCACACATGTACTTTGGTTAAAGTGATGACAGAACAACCTTACTAGAGGGACTTTATGTGTTAATACTGATGAATAGTTAAGAGTTTAAAAGCTTTAAGAGTGAGAAGGAGCAAAACACACATGCCTCTAAGAAATTCTATGCTTGAGATGAGTAGACTCCTAGCCTTAGTAGGTCAGGCTCACCACCACAGCTGTCCTACACAAGGCTGTTAAACCAAAACGTTTACTAAAATATTTAGTTCCACAGTATGTCCAGAAAATATTGCACCAGCTAAGATCTACACACTTTAGTTCAAGTGGCTTTTGAAGAGGGTGCTGTTTGTTTTTTTCAGGAGTCAGATTATAGCTGGCTGACCCATCATTTCATAGACTGCATTATGCAACATGCTACAGAAGTAGTTGAATATACAGAAGGTCTTGTCCAATACATGGGTCATAAAGCTACAGGAAGACAAACAGCAAACAACAGTGGTATCTCTTGGCTGTTCATAACAGCTTAAAACTCTAAAGTATGTGAATCAGGTCAGCATGCACCAACATTTTGGTGTGACAGTCCTGGATTAAAGAATACATCTGCATCCCTTTTCTGTTCACATGGAGCCCTTACACAGAAGCATCAAGTTGCTGCCTAGTTTCTCCTAAGAAGCACCTGAGAACATTCTGAACTGCCCACAAACTGGCATGTTTATCTTAAGAAAGATGGGAGACGGTCAGGCTATCAGAGTAGAAATGTGCTATAACATATTGCTGCTGTTTTTCAGAAAGGAACCATCTTCCTCACTCTCAGGGAAGAGTAGCAACAGGCTTCAGTCCCAGCTACATATTTAAATCAAGAGCAATAAAGTAAGAAAATGACTCAACAGACTAAGCTCAACAATGCAAAGAAAACTGCCTGGATGACAGTGTATCACTAACCAGCAGCAGGAACCGTGTCTTGGCATAGGGGTCCGAGCTGCTTGAGTCCCTCCTGCAACCTGCTTTATTACCCTTCTACAAAACACTGCTCTAGTTCAAGGGATATAGTAATTGCACAATTCCTACCTATGTAGCTGTGATTCTAGCAGACATTTAATTCTCCATGTAACCCAAGTAACCTTCTAAATGTTCCTGAAAACAAGATCTGACCACTCTTCACTGGCTGCCACAGACTGTGGTACAGAAGGTGTGCTGGCAGAGGGAACTTGTCTCTTAACAATAATGTAACAAGCACTCTCAAGAACTCAAGTAGACAGAGAAGCACCACCTCAAGCTACCTGTCTGACAGCTTACCTCTTGGCTCCACCAGCATCTGGTGAAACAATGGTGCAGTTCTTCCACTCTGCAATATTCTCCTTGATCCATTTCAGTACAGCAGGCTCAGCATATAAATTATCAACAGGGATATCAAAAAAACCCTGCAATGGAGACGACAGGAACAGATGTAGATGAAGGTCACATTCCAAAAACAGTTGGAAGAAGCCTTCTATATGATCAGGCATGCAGCCACCACCATTCCACAGCTTTCAGCTTTCCTTTCTGCTTCCCTTACTGCAAGGGCATTAGCCTTTGGGATACAAAGAACAGTAACGTAGGAAGTCTTCAGAGCCAGAAATAGTTTAGCAGCATAAATAACACTTCACATCTGACACATTCACAACATAGAACTAGCTCTATCCTAAGAGGGTGTAGAAAGCCATCCAACACACATTTTCAGAGCAGCTAGCTGCCTGTTTACAAGATTAAAGCTCATTTCCTACACTGTTTGCATCTATGGGAAACCTATGAAAAAGTTGTGAGCAACATTTGTTTTTGAACTTTAAAACTCTGTTTTAAAGTTGAAGTCAACTTTACACTGACCCAGCAGACTCCTCCAGGTAAACCTCAAAGGTCACTAGAAGCCAGAAGTTAATCCTGCACAGGGAGTATTAGGCAGGAGAGCAATGTTTCAAGGTGTCTGGGTGAAAGATCCTTCCCACCATCATTCCTCCTGCATTCAGCACCCCAACAACTACAAGAACAAGGCCGGAACAAGCCAGATGCTGGAAGCTTATATACACAAGCCTAATTATTCAACTGAATCTCACCACTGATGCTGGTGAAAGCTTAACTCTATGGCACATATCACAACTCCAAGCCTCTCAGGAAGTGGCATATCTTCCTGGGCTCTGTTCTTGTATTTTATGATCTTTCTAAAAGTCTGTGAATCACAGAGATGATTTTTTTCTGTCTGAGAAAGTATTTCTGGACAAATTATACTGGAATATATTATACTGAAGTATGAATGGCTTAATTTTCAACTGTTAAGATGACAGCCAGTCCACCTACTTCACCAGAGAGTAGATATCTTACTCTTCTGGATTCAAAGTGTTTGGAGCAATACAACAGACATCCTCCCATCTACCACACTCCTCTTAGTTGCACTGAGTTGGTTTCTTGGTTTCAGAGGACTTGCTCAAGGTGGGAAGAAAGATGACAAATTTAACACTCTGCTGTGACTTCTCCCAGGTTTATGCTCTTGACACTTCTCTAGCCAAGATTTCAATTGCTCTGTGAGACTGTTCTGTTTGCTAAGCCAGCAAATCCCATGAATAATTTTCAATTCACCAGCAGCTTTGTAGAGAATCAAAGCCAAGCTTCTGCAGAAGGGTGGCACTGAAGGGGCTCAAGTGGGATAGCCCATCTTAGCAGCAGCAAGCTATCAGATCACTGGTCCTGGTCAACTGAACCCTCACAAGCAGTTGTGAAGCACACCCAGAGGCAGAGCTAACCTCAGGGCTGTACGTATTACTGTGACTGTGTCAAAGTACTGCTCATCTCTCTCTGACCATTCAGCAGTATGAGAAGGGTCTACTCAAAGAATCACACAGCAGCAAGCACTGGAAGAGACCTCTGGGGATCATCTAGACCAATCCAAATATTTAAGAACACTCCTGATAAAGCCATTCTCCATCTCAAATTCCTCCGAGACCAGTTAAGAATAGTGTCATTATGTGGCAATAAAGTTGCACAGACTACTGACTAGCCCAACATTCATTCACACAGCACACAAAATGTTTAGTCTGATCAGCAACAGCTATAATTTCATTTACAGATGAACCCATTTCCCCTTCCTATGACTGGTTCTACAGGTCCCTCCGAGTCCCATGTTCCCAAGTCCTGATCACTGCAGCATCTAAAATGAAGCAGATCGCCGTGAAGCCTGCAAGGCAGGAGGCACACTCAGATTTGAGCAGGTAAGGACTTCCCTGCTTTTAGCTCCTACCTGAATCTGAGATGCATGCAGATCCATGGTGATTATATGATCTGCACCTGCTACAGACAGCATGTTTGCAACCAGCTTGGCAGAGATTGGAGCTCGGCTCTAGTATAGGAAGAAAAAACAGTACTTAAGACAAGTTCAACTCCTTCATCAAGATGTCAGTCTTCCACTGCTAAGCAATGATTCACAAGCAGCTACTAAAAGGAGTATTCCTTAACATTGCAGCTTTTCAACTGGTGCTTACAGCTTAGTGTATTTTCGAGAAGAACCAGATCTTTATCAAAAGATGGATTTGCAGTCTGATGCCCTGAGGTTTAAAGAAATAAAAATAAGTTTTATCTCCTCATCTACACATTCAGCTTCCCCTAACCCCTAACCAGCAGTCAGGACTTTCAAGGTGTGCCTTCATCTTCCCAGCAGAAACCTTTCCCACATTCCTTACCTTGTCCTTTTTGTCTTGCCGAGCGTAAGGGAAGCAGGGTATGACAGCTGTGACTCTGCTGGCTGAGGCAATCTTACAGGCATTTATCATGATAAGGAGCTCCATCAGATTGTCATTGATCTCACCACAGCCACTCTGCACAATGTAGACATCCTCCCCACGAACACTCTCGCCTATTTCCACGCTGCAAACAGAGGAGGGAAGGAGAGTTGTATCCAAATACAAACACAGCCACTAGGTACACCTGCAGAACCACCAAGGGGTTGCACTCCCCAGGGTCTGTGGGTGACAGTGTCAGATAATGAAGGGTGCTGAGCAGCGACGCTGTTGCTTATTTGCTCAGTAACTGTTTTACATCTCTCGCTCATCAAATTTAATGGTTCAGTCAGTGAGGCTAAAAGCACTCAGTCACTGTGTACTCTCAATCTCAACACAAGCTGAGCATGTAAACACCCCAGAACAGATCTTGTTCCCCCTGAATCACAAGTACAACCACCTCAGCTAAAAGCAACAGTGTACATAGGAAGCAAGGACGATGGCCAGTCAGCAGAGAAAGCTGAGTCAAACATCTACCAGAAGCTATGCTGCACCTGATTTTATTAGAGTCATAACAGCTATTCACTGACTTGAACAGAGAAGCCCTCCAGCATTTCACTTCAGAAAGGCTTTTGGGGTTAATTTCCTCCTGGATGTAATGCACACTCATGCTTGCTGATGAGGGGACTGAATACAAACCAAAGGTCCTGTTTGCCAGCAGCAAACTGCCACTTGCATCAAGACACCTGCACCACAAGCAAAGCTGGGAAGAAAGCAGTAGGCTTCGGTCTGAGGGGTCGTGCAAGGCAATGCTGTGTAAGGCCTTTTGTAGGAACAGCTTAGCTACTAAGTACTTCCAACACTTCAGTTTAGAGAAGCCTGCCACAGTTTTGGAAGCAACCAGAAGTCAGTCCAAGGACAAAGTTTTTCCATGGCTTTCTCCTGCATGAACTGGAGATGCTCACCCACCCTGCAGATTGCTGCCACATCAAGCTCCAGCAACAAGCAGACAGACAACTGCCTAATCCCCTTCTAATGGCTTCAGTCATAGATCACCTTAGGGTATATTTCTAATTTTAATATTTCATTCTCCGATCTTTCTCTCCTATTCATCAACATGTTTTTGATGATTTCTAGGTATTTATAGTATTACTGCTCAACATCCATCAGCAAACTGCT